CATCATATTATGTATCTATACGTTAGAATAATAAATAATAATACGTAATATTTTATTTAATATCACTCTGTTTACCTACAACTTTCAAAATATAAATGTTTTAGATTATTGAAACCTTATACAATTTAGTTACACAAACAATTATCGTCATTATAAATGCATTCAAATTTATAACTATAAACCGAGCAATTAAATTTAAAAACCATCTGCAGCATTTTAAAATTATCTAGGTAACTAAAAATTATAAATCTTTATGACTGAAAATTTTTACACTTGTTATTTGCTTTTAATCGATRTTATTGATGTATTATTTTATAAATATATATTTGACGAATTTATAATTGTTTTCAATTATTTTATTTTGGGAAAAATTATCAAGTATAATATACGAGATAATATTAATAATATTATATATTATAATATTCGTAGATAATATTCATGTGGTGACCTAACTTGGAACGATAAAATTTGGTTTATTTTTTATATGTTAGTAAATGAAGGAAACCAATAAATTGATAGTTGAAAATAAATACGGGATTGGGGTAGGAGGTTTCTTCGGCCTGCAAATCGACAGAGGGTGGAGCATCTTGGTTTCCTTGGTAACACGTACGACCCTTGTCTTATAGTTCACGGTAGTAGTGGAAAGTGGAATAACATCAGCACTAAATTCCACATACATACCTAGAATTTTCATTTGGGATATTTTGAAAATTTAAAATTTCAAGTGTTTGAAAAACTCATAGAATACACAACACACATGATATTATTATGTGTTCATGTATACGCRTCACTATCACAGTATTTAATCAACATTTCGACCATAAGGTCGATGTCTAATAAATTAACTATTATAATATTTATAGATAGGTAGGTACTTATAAATATATAAACATAACAGGTACTAGTGTAAAGGTTAATAATATATAATATTACGAAACTTACTATATTGCTCGTCTTTTATAGCTGATTGAAGTAGTCCACTCGAACTACAAGAATTACCACTTTCAGCTCCACTACAATTATTATTTCCATTAGTATTATTTGATGTGGTGACTAAACTGTTACTATTAAGTTTTGCTTTTTTTTGGATCTTTTTCATTTTTGCTCTTTGATTTTGAAACCAAACCTAAAAAACAAATAATTGATTTTGAAATACTTGAACGTATTCAAAACTAAACTAAATCAATTTAGTTTTCTTGACACATCATGAAACACAATTTAATTTYTCCATCTGGTRTATCAGGGCCTAAAATTTTGCGAGGTAACAAATATGAAACAYGAAGTAACAAATTAAAAACTATTAAGTCTATTATATTTTAAAATATTTAACAATTGGAATTAGGTGTGCAGTAACAAAGTTTGTGAAATTTAGGCACTGTGCAGGTAGGTACCTACCTAAAAAATTAGTTGGTACAGATTTAGTTAAATAAATTGCTAATATTCAATAGGTAATCGAATGATAAATTAATATTATATGGATTAATAATAATAAAAAAATAATTAATATTAAAATGTAAAACACAATACGTACCTATAWGACTTATAACTATTTTTAAACTGTCTTATATTTATTTGATTAAAAAGTTAGATTTAAATTCATATTTTCTATTTACGATAGTTAGCACTCAAAACTGAACAATTTGGGTAATTTCTTAAGAACAATTGACAACATATAAAATACTTGCATTAATCTTGAAATTTAAATTTTCACYGTGTGTATAATTTAGAAAACTATAGTGATATATTTTGTAGAATTTTGTAATGCTATTTTAATACATATTATTGATAACAAAAATGGTACTTATATATTTCAAAACAACTAACATTTATAGAAACAAAAATACAAAAAAATAACTGAAATATATTCAAATCGATTTTCCAATAACTACTCAATATAACCTAACCTATACAAACTCTAATATTAGGTATGTGCCTATGTATGTATGTATGTATGTATGAATAATAGTCAAGTGTAATATTATATTACGATAGGTGAATGATTCTTTTCGCAAAATTAGTTCTAAATGTATTTGGTTTTCTGTCCTCTACACTTTATTTACACATAATTAAAGTTTTGCTAACCTTAATAATAGATAGACGTACGAATTCATCAAAAATCAAGAAAATAAGATATATTATATTATGATTGTTTGACCTAATGAATAATGATGACTAATTCAAAATACAAACACCGTTTCCAAACGATTAATCACAGCGAACGAGGGAGTAAAAAATTCGAGTGTCTAATACATAGGTACATCACATTTATCCCAGTTTCTTATTTTTATATTTGACGTAGATAYTTTATCACATGTAAAGACAAACCTGGACAATGCGAACACTTAAGCCTGTATCGTGCGCAAGACTTTCTCTAACTTTTCTACACGGTTTTGGGCTTAGTTCAAATGATGTTTTGAACGCCCGTCGTTGTTGGGTAGTAAGTATCGTTCTGGGACGCTTAGGTCCACGRCGACCATCGTGGTTATAACTCCAATCTCCTGTAATCATATTTCATATAAACAAATGTAGTAAGAGGTTTGAAACATTTAAGCCATTATAGAGACCCTATAACTATAAATTTCAAAAAATTGTGATTTCTTGTACAGAAAGATCCTTATTCATTACATAAAGTATAGTGTTCGACTATAAGGACCTAGTATTTTATCTATTTTAATATTCCAAATAAAAAAATTAATTCTAATTTTATTTGTTAATAATATTAAGTCAAAATTATGTAATTCAAAGAACAGGTTTTTATTTAGAGCATTATTTTGATAGTATAATAAAAACAACGTGAATAGATTATCAAAGATTATGGTATAATTAAAATTTTTAATTTCAAATCATTCAACTAATGTCTTTCATAATAACAGAGGTGCTAGGTTTTGAAAATATYATGGAGGGGGGCTCTCTACAAAAATCTACACTTTTTCTCTGTTATTAATTTCGAAATAAACTTTATCTCATTTGTCAATTAAATTGTTATGAATAAAATTARTATTTTTAGGGCGTTTTACAATTTGAGAACCGTGGGGGGCTCTAMATTATCATTCTCGTGGGAAGGGGGCTGGAGCCTCCAAGCCCCCCTATATACGGCACTCCTACTTAATGGGAAATAAAAAAAATTAACAAACCTGTGTTTCGATTGATTTCGTCTCGCATCATGTTCACCTCTTTCTCATAATCTGGACGACAAAATAACTGAGAATGCTTGATTACGTACTGATCACCAGTGCATAGACGTATACCGCACACTACACAGACAAAACACTGTTCATGAAAAACGCACTCGCCTGCTCGCATTACCAATTCACCAGCAGCAATATGATCACCACAACTACCACAACTACGATATACACACCTAGAACGAAAATTAAATTAATATGATTTATATTTTATAATAACAATGAATATAGTTATTCGACTTTTGTTGACGTTTGTCTACTGAGAAGTTTTGGCTATGTCTATGAACATCGGTTTGTTTTATTGGTCCATAATTTAAAAAAAAAAAAATCACTTCGCAATAAATAAAACCAAAATAAATCTTTATTAGCTAACGTATAGAGCCTTAAAAGSTCATTTATTATATGGTTTTAATAAACCTTTAAAGGAGAAAATATTGTAGTTTAAATTAATTTAGAACTTAGATAGGTAGCTCATTGGTATATAAAAAAAAAATTTTTGGATGTTTGATTTATGATTTGTTTAATATTATTTGAAAATGAATACATAGATCCTTTTTTGTTATAAAGTTTTCGAAATTCAATAAGCCCCTTAAGATAGTAAGTACAATATTTTTAATAACGAGTAAAACATTTGATTTTATACAGTTAATAATATCTTCATGGCTATATTTATTTTAAAATGATTTTAATATTTTGCGTTCGAGAATACAAACAACTGGGTTCTTCTCAAACAAAGAATATAATATTGCGTATCTTTGAACAAGCATACTTATACTGAACATACTCAAAATGGTTGATTATTTTTTTACATTATCATTTTCCGTTAAACTTTTGAATTTCTTGGTATCAGTTCAATGCATGACACTAAATAAAKTAAATATTGCATATAGAATAAGTTATTATGTGAGATGTCGGGTATGRGTGGGCATTGAGAGCGATTGTTTTATGATTTATTTGAAAATAATAGGTATCTGAGATTTTCGTCAAATTCAATCGAGTAGTTTTTGAGTATAAAAGCTATACATTTGGTTTTAAAATATAATTTGCGGCGAAACACCTTCAGTCAAACACATCATATGCYTCTGCCGTGAACACWACGATGYTAGAGTCAACCTCAAACTAGCTGACAATCTCTACGAAGCTCTTGGTCCTGACCCCGACAACACTCAGAAGATRTTTACCTTTTTAAAATTATCTAAATTATATAACCTAATCTAAACACACCTTCACACCCCAAGCTTGAATTGTATAAATATTAAATATCCCTCCTTTTATTACCATATGTTAAATTTAACTTCAGCCAATAATCTTTGTTGTTGCGGCTTAATTTTAAATAAAAAAAAAA